CCCCAAAACCCCAAAACCCCAAAACCCCTTATATTCAGCCAAATTTTGAATAAATAAGTAAGATAATGCCTAAAACTCCTCTGTTTGCTTCAGATTCCGAGAAGAAGAAAAAGAAGAGAGGCCGAAAATCCTCCCATTCAGGTTCAAGGACTCCTTCTATGACGAAAATGAGGTCAGATCCTTCAAGGAATAATATTACCAAATGTAGGTAGCCAACACCTTTACTGTTTTATTGATCCTAAATGATTCTTTTAGATTCAGATAAGCCCAAAGGTTCAGAGAAAAGTAAAAACGGTATGTTAGCAACATAATTGAGACCATAAATTTCAACTTGTGGTTCTTGGCTTTTCAGTCGTGAAGTTTTTGAATAAAATTCACTCCAAAAATTTACACAGATATGTTAGACTTAGCTTTAGACAGATTTATTGTAGAATTTATTGTGTATTCAAAAGGAACAGAGGTACTAGAAGCTCAATTAAGATAATCAGAGGGTCCGAGATACTAATTTTAACACTTTGTGCATGCGAGATTAACCTCTTCTGCTTAGATTCCCTTATGAGACATAGTTAGTTAAGCACTTTTGGTAGACTTAATTTCTGCAGAGGGTAAAGAAGCATTCTGATTTTAAAGTATGAGATGGCATAATTAGTTTAATGATGCAAAGTATATTATTTCAGCTGTTTTAATATACCTTAGTTGATAATCTCATAGTATCTTGGGATGAAACTCCATCTCTTTGAGAAAACTTAATTCTCCCAAAGAATCGTAAGTAATTTAGCACTTCTTTTTACTAAAATTTACAATAAATTTCTGACCCATTTAGCAACAAAAGAAATTAAGCAGATTTATGATTATCATCAGAAGAAGAAAGCAGATAGACTTGCTAAGATGGATAATGTTGCAAAAAATTTAGAGACAGATCAGACTGCTGAGGAGACTGCTGAAGAGACTTTTAATCAGCCTCAACCTCTTCCTTATGATGATGATGACTATACTTTTACTGACATCGAAGGGTTACCTCGTAGGAGTCCACTTCAGCTTCCACCTGATCTTCCTCCTCCACCACCTCCTGTACGGAGGCCTGAGCCTATTGTACCACAATCTATTCAAGAGGGTAGTCCTGAGGTTCAGATAATTTCAGTGAGCCAGAATCAGAGCCAGGCCCAAGATCCCTCTAAAGTAAGGACTCCATCCATATCTCCGGACACCGTAATGAGGGAGGAGCATGACAATGAAGATGATAAGAATAATGGGCCTAAGAAAGAGCTTTACGCCATGCTTCGCCTTTCAGTAAATCCCAAAGAGTGTAAAGTTCTAAACATGCTAGGAGAATTTGAAGAATTTTTAGAAGGCCACAACTTTGCTGATGTATGCTTAATGCCTAACCTCATAGACTCGGACCACTCATGGGTGGAATAACCAGAAGAAGCCTGATAATACATCTGATTGTGACGAGGATGGCCCGAATAACCTTCCTGGTCGTATCTCTGAGAAACATCCTCTAGGTGTGGACCAAGAGCTACCAAGTATGAAGAATAACACGTTTGGCAAGAAGCTGAAGGATTTAGTAAACAATTTCAGTGATTTTTATAGTACGAAAGAATAGAGCGAGACGGAAGACTCGCTTGAGAAGAAGATATTAGTAGAAACCAGAGAGATACCAATATGGACAAAGACAAAGAAGACTTCTATGCCGCTGATGATACGTTTATTGATGACGAGGTAGGGGAAAAAGCTCTAGACTTAGATCTGGAATTGTAAAAAGAGGACAAGCTTTCTTGAGCTTTGAAAATTTTGATTTTTATTTCTGTAAAAGATCTCACCTAATTCAAAAATCACAGTGAAATTATTAGTAACCGGTTAATATAGGAGATTAAAGTTGAACAGGATGAAGAACTCAGTGACATAGAGGACGATTCTCAATTCTACAAGTCCTTTAAATTTGTGCACTCATCTAATATCGCCTCCCTTACAAAGAAAAGTATACATCTGCCATCATAATTTAGAGAGAACGAAAAAGATTGATGGAAAGATCAGAGACAGAGAAATCAACGATAGACTTTCCAAGCTAGAAGAATATTATAGATTGAAAGCAAATGACTCTGAGGCCCTAGAAAACTCCGAACAGAAGATATTCCCTGATATCATTTTCGAAATGGTAGACAAGATGCTTGTGAGCAAGAACCCTAAGCACAAAGCTTGGAATGATAATTTTTCCAACATCTTAAGTTACCTCTCACAGATATTTGGAGAAAAGGATCATTTCAAAGTCTTAGAGTTTCTTAACTTATTCCGGTAGGTCCTTAGGTTTAAAAAAATAGTGATAAAATCAAGCTGAAAAGCAAGCTGAAAACACTTTTTGATACCTTCAGAAAAGAAGTCAGGCTGACTATATCCAAAATTGACTTGGGCCGCTGCTTTTCCCCTGAACAAGCCTTTGAAAGTAAGAAGGGTTTCCTGATAATCTCTAGAAATTTTCGGGAATAAAAATCTTACTAAGATAGTCAAGAAAATTGGAGAGAAGATTAAGGACAACTTTTAACTTGATGCACAAGATCAATAAGTATAAATTTGGGAGCCAATGGAGAAGCTTTATGGCCATCGACACCTCATTTGTGGACAAGAACTTAACCTGTGTGCAGTCTGCAAAGATGAAGAGTTTAGACAAGGACCTTTGCTCAATGCTGCTCAAGAGATCCAATGAGATTTATGATTTATTTGCAGTTGATGGTTGCTATCCTTACACTACTAGATATCTTGCAGGCAGTTATGGTATTAAGGGTGAGATACTTACTTGTATCAGAGAATACATAGAAGAGCCCATGGGCTTTATGCTATATTCAGTAAAATATAAGAGACAGCATTATAAGTAGGCCCTATTAAACATTCAACATTACCTTTTTCAGTCGGGGTTTTGGGGTTTTGGGGTTTTGGGGTTTTGGGG